CAAAATGTTCTGTGTAAATTAATTTTGTTTTGTATGTAAATAATATATATAAAAAAAATATATAAAAGCCATCATTAAGACAAATATACAAAAAAAAATGCAAAAGCACCAAAAGGCTGCAACACGCCCCTATTAAAATATATAAAAAATGAAAATTAAGAACTCTAAAAATAAAACAAACACCTATCAATAAAAACAAAATTGCTATAATAAAAAATAAAAAAACAATTTAAAAAAACAAACACTTGTCAAACAACAATTAATTACAGCATAACAGTGCAAAACTCATTGGTCCCAATAAAAAAAAAATCACTATATGAACAAAGTGCCTTGCCATAAAGCTTTGGGTTCATCCTGCCAAGACTTCCCCGAAGCATCGTGTCACGACCAATGGAACCCGACTCCTCCCTACCAGTGATCAACCTTGCTAGCCACTAGGTTGATCCAAACTCTAAACTAGTAACTATAACATCAACTAAGAAAACAGTGTGTATATGTAATGTAATTAAATGCATATGCTAATTGTTGTATCTTCAATAAACACGGCGTATTGCCTTTTCCCCTAAAAAAAAATCCCGTGTGCTTCTTATAAGCATAACATTCGTTCTCTTCCTGATCTGGCTCAGGCGTTCTGCGGGTGTGAAGGGGGAGACCCTGAAGGCCACAATAGCAGCATCTGCAGATACAACACACAAAGGTACCTTTTGTCAGTGTATTCATGATAGATATACTGAACTTACTCCCCTTGATCCCCACAAGTTGTAAGTACAACATTCTCACGTCTCATTGGGATTGATACAGCACACCAGTCACAGCACCAGCCATGGTGAGTATGGCCATCAGGGAGGCTGGGGGCTTGAGGAAATGAGGAGGGGATAGCTCACAGGCATGAGTATATGTGTATAGGCAATGGGACTGCATATTAGGTGATATTTCACTCTTGAGGGTAACAGAAGCAGAGAGAGCATAGCTGCTGCTGGCGTCCCAATGCCACACGGGCACATATGCTGCTAGCTTGTATATTGCAATGGTACTTGCTGAAGTAATCACTGAGTGGTATTAGAAAGTGTCCTACCGCGGTGGAAGAAATAAAGCAGCCCTCCCCAGAAACCTTCAGCAGAGGATTGCAGAGTACCTCCATGAAAGTTTCGTTGAGCTCTCTATGGAGGATTCACAGGACTTCTGGTACACATGAATAAACTGCTCCGCTTGGCTCCCTCTGCCCAACTCTAGAGGGGAACGAAAAGCAGATAGCAACTCTACCTCTCTTGGTTGTTCGATTACCTTTTCTACCACCTGTAAAAAAGAGTATATCAACAATGTATCCTGCTACTTCACAGGTTCCATCTTTAGGATTTCAATGCAAACTGCATACTTACCAGAGATTCCTTCCCCTGCATCTGGCTCACCCGTGCTTGACTGTCAGGACTGGCTGGACTACGCTGGATTCAAAAAGAGGTCCTGGCTCACTGTCAGCTTGATCCTTATTGCCTGTCCCCCATACTCCTCCTCCTCTTGCTTATCCACCTCCTCCTTTTTGCTGTTAATGGCAGGGGCCTGTGACTTGGGCTCCTCCAAAGTATTCATAGGGCACTGGGGAGGCGGGGGAGTGAGGTCTCTGAGGATGGCATGCAGCTCTTTGTAAAAGCAACAGGTCTGTGACTCTACACCAGATCGATTGTTGGCCTCCTTGCCTTCTGATATGCTTGCTGCAGGTCCTTGGCTTTCACTGCTGCTGGTCCCTGTTGTAGCCCTTCTCCCGCATGCCCTGAGCATCTGCTCATAGATGTCCACATTTCTATGGGTAGATCAGATCTGTTCCTGCACAGTCTCTTCTCCTTACAGACCCAGGAGATCCAATGCCTCCTGTGTACTCCAGGCAGGAGTGTAGCCACCATCATAGTCAGCTGGCCAGTTGCACACAACTATGGAGAGCTGCTAGGTGTGGTCCCCAAACCAGGCAACCAGGAAAAGGAATTTCAAAAATGTGCAGGTCTTTAAAGGGGAGGGCCAGCTTCCTGTCCACCTGGTCCCTGGGCAGCAGAGTTCACAATGGTAACTAGAACAGTCACTATGGGGCATTGTGGGACAGCTCCTAGAGGCCAGTAATAGCTGATGTAAATAATGCAGTGTCTGACACTGCATTGAGCTAACTACATTGGCCTTGACTCTACACCACTCAGGGAGGTGGTGTTTTTAAATTGGTGTAGTGGGGCAGTTACATCAGCGGGAGCTAAATAAAAGTATATACACATTCTGAGTCCGTTTCCCAGACCTAAAGAAGACCTCTATGTAAGCTCAAAAGCTTGTCTCTCTCACCAACAGAAGTTGGTCCAATAAAAGATATCACCTAGGGTTACCATATGTGGAGTGTCCCAAAAGAGGACAC